CAAGTATATTTTTACATATTTAATTTTCTGAAATACTAACTTCTTTTACTTTTTTACAATTTTTTATTTTATAACCATTAGTATTTTTAACACCATTTCAAACATGTATTGATTTGTAATTTATTTTCAATTTTTATTGGAGTTTTAATCTTTCCAAAGAAGACTAAAATCTACGTCTTTAAATATTAAATAGTTTAATGTGGTACATTTCCGTCCTTATGTTATAGCGTTCGAAGGTTTAATTTTTATTTCCTGGTCCTCTAAACTTCCCAACGTCATTTCACGTTAATTAGTTTGTGTTAGTTATAAAAACTTAGTTTAAAGTTAAAATCCGTTCTGGGATTTTAATATGTTTTAAATGGTGGTAATATTTTATCTAAAGCATTTTCGGTATGATCAAAAAGTCTGCTAATCAAGTATAGGTTTTAAAATTTACAGTTGAAAAATTTATAAAGATTTTTGTTAACATATTATTAAAAAATGTCTATATCTATGTGGCGGATTCATCTCTCCAAAAAAATCCTTTATGGGTATTTCGCCACTGCACTGCAAGAAAATCTGCAAAATAAAATAGTTATTTTTTGTAAACGCTTGTGGCGTTAAACCTAAACGGACGCTGCTTGTCAGAAGTCATGTTTACAGTAATACAAATTTTCCTAACAAAGAAAAAAATGCTTAACGTTTCGGAAAGTTATCTCATTCCGTCGTCGGAAGCAAAAAAAAACAAAGAATAAAGAAAAAAAACTATTAAAAATATTCAAATTCAACTATTCGAGAACACTTTACTTTTTTAAAACAGATACGTCTACAAGAAACCGTTGACGTTCTGTTAAAATGACATTATTCAAGTTAAACTTCAAAACTAACAATTACTACCTGATAACAATTTCTTAATAAAGTAAAACCAAAAAGCCCCAAACTTTCTGTATGATTATTTTTAAATTTTACGTATGTTATGTTTATTTATGCTATGTTCTTTAAAATCAAAGAAGCGATCACAACCATACATTACTAACATTAAATTTTACATTGGTGAAACATCTAGACCCCTAAATGTGAGAATTAAAGAACATAAAAATTATTTAAGAAAGGATTTAAGTAAGGAAAAGAGATTTTCACAAATCTAAGATTTGTCAGCATTCCTGGGACACAGGGCACAGAATAAATTTTAATAACGCCAAAATTATAATGAAAGAAGCGATAGCCTCTAAAAGAAAAAGAAAAGAGTTTTTTTTAATTCAATCTAATAAAAATAAATGTATAGCTCATGCATCTATAGATGTTAGTAATGTATGGCAATCGCTTCTTTGATTTTAAGGAACAGTTTCTTGTAGACGTATCTGTTAGTGTTCTCGAATAGTTGAATTTAAATATTTTATATAGCTTTTTTCTTTATTCTTTGTATTTTTTGCTTCCGACGACGGAAAAAGATAACTTTCCGAAACGTTAAGCATTTTTTTCTTTGTTAGGCAAATTTGTATACTGTAAACATAACTTCTGACAAGCAGCGTCCGTTTAGGTTTAACGCAGAAGTGTTTACAAAAAATAACTATTTTATTTTGTAGATTTTCTTGCAGTGCAGTGACGAAATACCCATAAAGATTTTTTTTAGAGAGTAACATATTATTGTTTCGTAAATCAAGTTTAAAAAAGAAGAACGATATTTTCTATATCTACATAATTTAAATTGTACTTCGAAAATTATATTAAAAAGAAATTTCAATACAAAATCTTGTTAATTTGTAAAAATCATTACCATTATTATTTTCTGCTTATTGGTTGAATAAGCATAATTCTAAATGGTTATTTAGAATTATTATGGTGTATACTCTCTTTATACTTGGACCCATTGTCATTAGCGTAACTACAGGGATGCCCAGTGGTGCCCCCCCCCAGGTACTGCTGGGCACCACCCAGAGTAATCCTGAATTATGACTCTTGGCTACGTATTAATTTTTATTTGCTTGTGATGCAGTAAAAATGACGTTTTCTAGTTTCTTTTAGTTAATATTATTTTGTTGTGTTCAAAAATGGTGTTAATTTTTATTTTTTTAGAAAATTTGTAGGTACTTAAGTAATCTACGGGAACAAGGTTTGATAACCAAGTCTATGAAATTTATTGATAGAGAAATTCATGTAAAGGTTTTATTCAAAAAAATTGTTTTTTAAAATTATTTTTCATTAAAAAAAAACAAAAGCTCTAGGCCGCCCTTGGGCTCAACCCCAGGCCCACCCCAGGATAAATTGCTTGTTACGCTAATGCCCATTGTTGTGTATTGTTGGCTATGCGGGCCCAAGTCATCCCGGCTAATTTCCTAATATCATGATCGCATCTCAGATTAGGTCTTCTTCTAGGTTTCTTAAATCCTCATGCGTACCATGCTGTAATTTTTGTGGTCCATCTGTTGTCCGTCATTCTTGCCAGGTGTCCTGCCTGTTGCCATTTGATTTGGATTTGATTCTGTGGATGACATCTATTATCTGTGTTTTTTGTCGTATCCACACTATTTTTTACGGTCTTTCTTGGTTATTCCAATCATATTTCGTTCCATTGAACATTGTGCGACCTGCAGTTTCCTTATAATATTCGTTTTAAGTGTCCAGCTTTCGCATGCATAGGTCATTACTTAGTACACACTGGTCGAATATTTTCTTCTTTAGGTAAAGTGGCATTCTAGATTTGAATATGATTAAGTTTCTTCCATAAGTACTCCCTGCTTTCTTCCATAACTGCTCATTAATTTAATTCTTCTGTTGATTTCTTCTGGTATAGAAATGATCCCGAGCTGTGTATTAGTTGTCCCAAATATCTATATACTTCTACTATGTCTAGTGTTTTGTTATTTATTAGAATGTATTTTCTGTCTACTAAACTGCCCGTCAAATTAAATACCACAGAGATTTTTTACTCATTTTCAACGAGTTGTAACTTTGAAAAAAAATGGACCAATTTTGTTTATTTTTTACCATATTAAAGATCGGTTTTCGTAAATTGATCTGATTTTTCTAAATTTTGTATGAGATTTAGTTTTCTATGATATACAGGGTGTGAAAAAAAGGAATGTAATTTTTGTAATTTTTATGTTGCTGCCATTTTGCCAAAAAACAAAATTTAACTAGAATTATAAGTTCAGGTTATAGCTAAGACTAATATCTCGGGACGTATTTGAAATTTTTACGATAACTCATCTGGAATAAAAGATAATCAATTTTTACTCTAACTTTTATTTATTCTACCTTTCTTAAGATATATGCTAACAAAACTGAAATTAACTTTAAAATTGTAGGATACTCGTTACTTTTACAATGTGAAATTAAAAAAAAACTATTAAGTTTCACCTAAACTACAGATTTTTAGACACAAAAAGAGTTTTTACAAAAAAAAAGCTTATGGGCTGTTAAGTTCAGAATATTAAAAAAATAATTTTACTTTTTCGCTGCTCGTATTTTTAAGAGATCCTGTATTAAACTGCGTTAGTTAAATCATTTTTTTTTAATTTCACATTGTAAAAGTAACGAATATCCGACAATTTTAAAGTTAATTTCAGTTTTGTTAGCATATATCTCTTAAGAAAGGTAGAAAAAACACAAGTTAGATTAAAAATGTATTTTCTTTTATTCCCGATGAGTTATCGTAAAAAATCCAAATACATCCCGAGATATTAGTTTTAGCTATACCCAGAACTTATAATTCTAGTTCAATTTTGTTTTTTGGTAAAACGGCAGCAACGCAAAAATTACATTCCTTTTCTTCACACCTTGTGTATCATAGAAAACTAAATCTCATACAAAATTTAGAAAAATCAGATCAATCTACTAAAAGGGATCTTTAATATGCTAAAAAATCAACAAAATTGGTCCATTTTTTTCAAAGTTACAACTCGTTGAAAATGAGTAAAAAAATCGCTGTGGTATTTAATTTGACAGGCAGTTTAGTTCGTTGTACATTACTTTAGTTTTTGCCAAATACGTTTGCCAAAAAAAGTTTGGGTAAGTTTCTTCTTGCTGAGGAAAAAATTATTCAAAAATTGCCTCAAATATTTATATTACAATAATCAAATTTATCCAGGGTGAGTCTTAAATAAGTGCAAATATTTTGGGGGTAGTTTATTTCGACCCCATAAACACGATTATGAGTGTTTTTTTGCCAAATTTTTTTTTTAAAAATTTGAATTTTTTTAAAAAAATTTGGATTTTTTTTAGTTAAAATACTTAATATCTTGATAATATGGCAACATAGGTAGTAGATTAAATTTTCAAGAAAGAAAATCTAGAAAAGTGGATCTCAAAATTTAAGCAAACATTTTTTGAAAATTTTTAAAGTAAAATAACTCGGTTATTTTGGACTTACTTGAAAAACGGTAAAAATAAAATCTGGTTCTTTTATCGAGATCTACCAGCCCCGAAAATATTTGCACTTACTTAAGATTTACTCTGTATCTATTTTGTAATAATTTATTTTTGACTGAAAGTTAGTACGAAATTTCTTGTAGCTAAAACTAATCATAATCAATAACATATTTTAAGTAATTTTGTTTCGAAATCATATTTGAGTTGTTCTCGTTGTTCTTTTTAGAATCACTCAATTTTTTTAAGTTTTATTTTTTTAATCGCTTTATACTGTTTTTATTTTATTTTATATTTTTTTATTTTTATTTTTTTATGTACCCGTTAGACTAAACCCTAAAAAGGAATCGGACATTATAAATTATTTGAATTACTCTGACGTAGTAGAGACATTTTAATTGATATATTTTGAGAAAAGAACGATAAACCTAGATATCTTCTTGAGGAAAAAACAATTCAAAAAATTATCTCAAAAATAAATTACTATATTCAAATTTATTTTAAACATCAAAAAGTAATCGGAAATGAAGTAGAATCTAGTCGCTAAAATTAAAAATATAGTATAATTTTAAATAAAAAAAATTGTTCCACATAACTTTTTTTTTGGGTATTAAAAATACATAAGGAAAATGACAGTTAAGAAATGCACTTACCGACAATAATCTTAACTCTTCTTCTATCTGAGAAAGAAGTCTTCCAACCACAAAGAAACTCTAGAAAAATATTTAAAAGTCGCCGAACTTTAAACAAGAAAGAAAAAAAAAGAATCCTCTCCCTCTCTGAGTCGTCTTTATTTATTCGCAAACTTTCGGGCAAAAACAAAAAGCGACCGAACGGCGCGCCAACTTTGAGACCGACGACGTCGACGCTCGCTGCAAGAAGGCGTCGCGGCGGCGTCCGATGGGCAACTATTTTCGCGACGCGCGGCCAACTTGTTTCTATACGAGACGCGGGGTCTGGGGGCGCGTTTTTTAGATAGGGGCGAGTAGAGATACGGGATGGAATAGAGAAAATTGTTTTTTTTTTCTTTCGTAGATTTGCATTTTACTAGGATTGGACTAGAGGTTAAGATAATAAATTAGTTTCATTTTCTTGATTTATTTTCATCTACTAAATCTTTTACAAAAGCAGATTTTTTTGTATCTGTTTATTTTTCTATTTTTGTGCAGTTTTAAGTTATTTTTTCTATCTTAACCCCCGCGCGTCCGGGATTTTGTACCACAATTTTACTAATTTCGTTAAAACAAAATATCCATTGGACATATATAGTCTAAGAGCTGGCTACATATAAAGCCTTATCATCGTTACATGGCTAATTTTTCTTGTGAAGTATTCTTTTGTGTAGACATTATAAAATAGTCATGTCTGGCCAGCGCGATTCCGGGGCTCTATCCCAATCGAAAGGGTAAAATTTTGACACTAAAAATATTATAACGTACACGAGTTGTAATTGTAAAAATAGTTTTTATTTATTATTAAGAAACATGGATAATTCTTGGCACACATTTTCCTCGTCGCTAAAGTGCCGACAGACAACGTGAATGCATGCAGGTTCGGTATGCATGTATAGCATGCCGATTGGTGGAATGTCATATTTATTTATTTTAAGAGCCGTATACAAAAGGGCAGCCAAAAGATGGTGGCTAAATCAGCGACAGACAGAGATCAAAAGCGCGATATTACTCTAGCGCTTTCAGGGAACGCTCGCCGCCTCATCCCTTTAAGTATAGATAAATCATGTATAAAATTATATTATAAATATATATTTTTATTATTTCAAAAACAGATATCATACATTTACTATTCTGCCTCACTGTTTGTATCTGACTCATCCACAGACTCAAGACTCATCGTATTGCAGATCTCCGCTCTCGCAAACGAGTCTTCCTCTGAGTCGATATCTGCACCGTAAAATTTTTGTAGACTTACATGTATTATGTTTCAATTGACAACGCGGCGAGCGTTTCCTGAAAACGCTTATACAGGATGAGTCTTTAATAAGCGCAAATACTTTAGGGGCATGGGCGCCGGACAGGGGGGGCAAGAGGGGGCATTTGCCCCCCCCCTGAATTACTGAAACAATAAAAATAAAAGCTATCTTCTTACATCCATCTGTAAAAAAATAATCATTATTATAAAATTGTTAGGTGTTACCTGTAAAATAATAAAAAATGTGGTAATTATTGGGAAAACTGGAAATCGTCCGATTTTCACCAAAATTGGTATACACACTATTTTGAGGTCGTAGATTACTAATCTACTTTTTTCTTGGCGGTCTCTTACCGTTTTTCAGAAAAACGGAAAATTATTTCAACATTGAATTTTTCTTTATTTCGGCCCTATAAAGTAATAATTTCACTATATTTTCATTATATTATAGTTTATCTAAAAGCCACACTTGATTGGGGATAGAAAAGTGTCCAACATTTTACTGAAAAACACTTTTCTTAACAAAATAACAAAGAAAATTGAGACCAGATGGAAGTTTGACATTTAATATATCCTTCTTTCTCTCTCCTATGTAATAAGAGAGACAAATATATTCTAGACCTAATCTAGAAATTTGAAAATTTACAACGTTGCCATATCTTCTATTTTTTTGGGTGATTCGGGATTTTAAATAAAACCTATTCTATTAATATTTACCTAAAGTAAATTACGTGGAAGAGTTTTGATTGCATTGGTTTTAACTTCTTTGCGGAGGGGGTTAATCTTTTTTTAGTTAATCTAATAATATAACAACAAAAGATTAACACCCTCTGCATGGAAGTTGTAACCAATGCAATCAAAACTCTTTCGTGCAACTTCGTGGGTATAAATAGTCAGATCTCGTTGGTAAAGTAGCAGTTATGAGAAGGAGCCGTTCTTCTGGCGACCGACTTTCGTAATTCCAGAATGAGCGAAAAAAACACGCTAAATTTAGGTTTAGCATTGGCAACGTTGCTTTAAATGCCAGAAACACATAAGCTTACTTCGGGTTTCTCTTATTACCGATTCTGAACCGTCCTAGAACAGTGATGCGTATGCGCAGAAGGAAATATGAAGACACTATTTCATTTGCGCATGCGCTGCAGAGTTCTTGGACGGTTCAGAATCTGTAATAACAAGAACCCGAACAAAGCTATAACCTAACATTTTCAGATTGTTTACAAATTTATTTTAGCAAATTTTCCTCTATTATGCATAGAATTGGCTAAAAAAGTAACAGAAAATAGCAAAAACATTATTGATTATTGAATACCTAACAAAATATGTGCTAGAAAACCTTAAAAATATGAGAAATTAAGAAAAATTCGATATTGAAATTATTTTCCGTTTTTCTGAAAAACGGTAAGAGACCGCCAAGAAAAAAGTTCAGATTCGTAATCTACGACTTCAAAATAGGGTGTATACCAATTTTGGTGAAAATCGGACGATTTCCAGTTTTCCCAATAATTACCAAAAATGTCAATTTTTTATTCATTTTTATCTTGCCCCCCCCTAAATTTCATTCTTCCGGCGCCCATGTTTAGGGGTGATATATTTGGACCCCAGGAACACTTTATAAGTTTGTTTTCGCAAAAAAAGATGTTGAAAGTCGTGTTTTTCCTGTATATTTTAGATAACTTTTTAGAACTGCCTGTTCACCGCAAATTTATCCACGGTATAATTATTTCTTAACCTACCATGCTATACTCTATGGTTAGGACACTAAAAGAATGGATGTAAATAGAGAGAAAAAACAGGTTGCTCACAAAATTATTTAAAAATAAATCTAGTTCTTTTTAAATTTTCAAATTTGAATAACTTGGTTATTTTGAACTTATTTGGAAAACGGTAAAGAGAAAATGCGTTCCGTTTTATCGACATGTACCAGCTCTGAAAACATTTGCACTTATTCAAGACTCGCCCATTATCCATAGAAAAATAAGTTGATATAACGCAACAATAGGTTATGAAATTCACGTAACATTGCCATTTTTCATTGTTTTATCCACATTTGGCTATTAGATACCTGAGAAATTGGGATGCTGCCAATATGTGCTCAACGCGTATCCAGAAAGCGATTCGCAGGGCAACGAGAATACCAAAATCGATTGTTTGGCGTTATGCTAATCGAATATTTTCGCTTAAACTTCATTCAGAACCTCGCAATTAGTGGAATAAATTAATGGCTTCAACTAGCGTAGAAGTTTATTTCTTTAATTTCAACGTAAGCATTCAGAACCTCTAAATTAGTGGTAGTAATTTTCAATTAGTAGAAAAGCTTCTCAGAACCTCGCAATTAGTGGAATAAATTACTAATTTCAATTACACTTTATACTTTTAAGTTTACGATCATTCACAATGTCTAAAAAACAAAATTAAAACTAATAGAATATCCTAGCAATAGCTTGCGTTAGTCAGTTAAATTCATAGAGAAAGCCTAAAGCTGGATTTACAAACTCGGGAGTTGGCGTTCAGTTGAGGTTCAGTTGCAGTTGGATCCTTTTAATATTTCTCAAACTTCAAACACAGTAATCCAAGATTACGCAAAATATAAACATTACATTAACAGAAATAATTAAACAACAATAAGGGTCATTTTCCAATGCATCGGCGCCGGCGTCGCCTCTCTAGTAGTAATCCAGTTGAATCCATAGAGAAAGCCTAAAGCTGGATTTATAAACTCGGGAGTTGACGTTCAGTTGAGGTTCAGTTGCAGTTGGATCCTTTTAATATTTGTCAAACTTCAAACACAGTAATCCAAGATTACGCAAAATATAAACGTTACATTAACAGAAATAATTAAACTATAAGGGTCATTTTCCAATGCATCGGCGTCGCCTCTCTTTACCGTGCTTCACGTGATCGACAGGCGCCTATTCATTGGCTGTCGCCAAACGTCGCCAACGGTCGCCAACTGCCGACATAAACATTGACCATCTTTGAACTCCGCTGGACGTAAAACAAACTACCAACTTTTCGACCAACTGGCTTTATAAATGCGCGCGTTCATTTCATAGTGTTGAACATTTTGAATGGCAACTGAACCTCAACTGAACTTCAATTCCCGAGTTTATAAATCCAGCTTAATATTTATCTTATACAACAATCAAACTTTGATTTCTAACCACAATTTGTAGTCTAAGAGCTAGCAACGTTTTCGAGAAAGTATTTTAAGACGTCTGGCTCTTTGATATATCTTTTACTATGCTCTGTGGAACAGCATGCGGCCCGTCTGGCTGCCGATACCCGTTGCGATCACTACTGCGCATCGGAAGAAGATCCTATATTTTTTTATTAATTTAGTCCTATAAATTCTAGTAATGAATATAAATCGAACGTGCCTCCATAGCGCAGTGCCTAGAGTTTCCGACCACGAACCAATGATTCAGAGTTCAAATCCGGGTCAGGTCAAAGACTTTTTTATTTTATTTTCGTTTATATTCTGATAGTAAAGTATTAAATAATTCTGGTAATTTAAAAAAAAATAAATATTTAATACTTTACTCGAATATAAACGAAAATAAAATAAAAAAGTCTTTGACCTACCCGGATTCGAACTCTGAATCATCGGTTCGTGGTCGGAAACTCTACGCACGCTATGGAGACATGTTCGATTTATCTTCAATACTAGAATTTAAAGGACTAATAAGAATATAGGATCTTCTTTCAATGCGCAGTAGGGAACGCAACGTTTACCGGCAGCCAGACGGGCCGCATGCTGTTCTAGAGAGCTTAGTAAAATATATATTAAAGTGCCAGACGTCTTAA